CCCCCCCCCCCCCCCTGTTCGCAAAATTTGAATAGGTTGGCGTCGAGTGGCACCGACGCTGTAAAACAAGCCACCAGCCCCTAGACATGAAATAATTGCACTAACCAAATTTTTATTTTCCCATACCGTAACACAAACCCGCCAAGCCAGACATGAAAGAGCTGAACTAACCGACCTTTTTATTTTCCCATACTGTAACACAAACCTGACAAGCCAGACATGGAAAAACTGAACTAACCGACTTTTTATTTCCCATACTGTAACACAAACCTGAAAAGCCAGACATGGAAAAACTGAACTAACAGACTTTTTATTTCCCATACTGTAACACAAACCTGACAAGCCAGACATGGAAAAACTGAACTAACCGACTTTTTATTTTCCATACTGTGACGCAAACCTGACAAGCCAGATATGAAATAATTGACCTAACCGACTTTTTATTTCTCATAACGTAACACAAACATGACAAGCCAGATATGAAATAATTGAATCCAACGAAATACATTTCCAGACGCTTGACCATTTTTGTTTTTATTATTATTATTATTATTATTATTTTTTTTCCACAGTTGAAAACGCAAAAGTAAGCAAGAGTAGAAGGTTATTGGCCACCTTATATACATACCAACACGAAAACGGAAACGAAGCATAAATATAGACACAGCAATCCTTTTGGTCAAATGTGCGATGCACATGAAGGTTGGGGACTCGTGGTGAGATAACCGTAAAAACAATACCGGTTCCCATTGGGCGGTGGGAATCTGGTCAGGCACTATCCTAAATTCTCCGCAAGGAGAGGGGTGGATAATGCAAGACAAAATGTCAGACCTAACATACTCAAGAACCTTGTTTTCAATTGACCGACCAAATGACCCAAAAGAGAAGGAGCACCAAGCGGTACGTAGATATCTTGAAGCTTGAAGGATAGACGCCGGTACAAAGTGTGGGGGGATTGTTGGTCAAGCTTTCGGCAGCGAAGGTCTACTCGGGAGCGTTAGTGGGGTAGCTACCCATGGTGTACCGTACAAACGTTGATGACCGTAACTCATTTATCAACCCTGGGTCGACTTAGACCGCCATCAGGGAAGATAGTGCTCTCTGGCGTCTACGAGGAGGAGATTTTTATGTTTGTATGTCATAAAAATCAAGGAAGAGACGGACATCCCGATGTGTGAGTGAGACCTTCTGCTATGCAAGCCACCCTTGAACCTTACATGGGGAAAATGACCTCCCCGGAGGAAAGTACCCAGTACAGCAGCTGGGGCAAGTTGAGAGAAGAAACGGTCGTGGGACGCTTGGGTTGGTTACCATGCAGATCCGCTGGCACAAACTTGGGGTACTTGTGCTAAG